ATTGGGACGTCATACACCTCAGTCCCCCCCCCCCCCCCCCCCGTGACCATGGGTGCTGTAAAGTGCTTGAAAAGTCGAGAATATAAAATAAGTTAATATACGCGATAAAATCCGTAAAATTAGTTTTATTTAAAAGGTATCAATTTTTTCATCATGGGTATATATTATATGGTTCACATATTTTTCTGTAAATAATTTGTAATAATGAAGAATAAAGGTACGTTTTCGTCCAACCGCGGCTCGCGTACACTCCCGCCAAAACTTGTAGAAGGTTACGCCGTAATGTCAAAGTTAAAGATCTATAGTTCTACAAGTTGTTGTGTGTTAATATTAAACTGTTTTCCGTGTTTAAACTATCGTCTTTTGCTGAGATTACCCGACGCCATGAGATTACCTATTTAAATTGTATTTGTAAAGCTGAACGCACATTTGTCCGCGCCGCACGCGACGCACGCGCCGTACGCGCTGCACGCGCCGTACGCGCTGCACGCGCCGCACGCGCCGAATTTTAGAATTCGTTGTATGAAATCATATGAAACCTCGCACATTACACCCGCTCCGTACGCGCCGAATTATATATAATATGCTGTAGGTATACGATATCGAAGGATGAATGCTGATGACGTCATATAGCGCGGCGCGTGCTGATACTCAATATTGTCTAATGTTGCCAACTTAGTGGATTTTTCACTATAACTGATGGTTTCGACTTACATGATAATTTTTATATTTTATAACTTTTAATTCATTCGTAATTAATTATACATAATTTGATTTTATTTTGCATTGATTATCAATATGTATACTTAGCGATAATTTTTTTAAATACTTGTGGCGGCGCTGTCGTCGCGCCACAAGCGAAACACATCGAAGCCTAAATCGCGCTATCAAAGTTCCGAAATTAAAGCAATATATATAGAATAGCTCCGAACTACCAATCGGGGAGCGCTGGCCGCTCCCCGGGCAGAACACCTTGCCCGGCGGGAGATCTCCCATTTTCCTTCCATCCGCTACAGTGGTGACCAACCGACGTGATATGAACACGCAACCAATAACCTTCTGAAATTACACCTTCAAACCTTCATCATCCTCAAGTACCCCATTCATTCGCTCCCGAGCAGATATTATCTGCAGTCTTCACATTCTGCAAGCCATCTAGCTTAACAAAGGTTCATCGCGGCACTGGAATAATAATGCTTCCTGTTCCTTCAAGCTACTCTCTGCGCTACAGTGTTCGGCACGGCTCTGAGCCTTACTGCTCGCCTCTGCTTCACGGCACTCTCGCAGATTACTTGCCTTCTTCTCGACTCACCGCAGACTACAAGGCAATCCCTGGCACTTGCTCCGGCTCATCGTTCTCACCGGCATCACTTGCAAGTGCGTAGTATAGCATGCATTACACACCGGCATATCGTTCGCACCGGCGTCACTTGCCCTTACGCACACAACATGCATTCCCCATCGGCATTAAGGACGCACCGGCAATCGGACTGCACTATCGACCTCCGGTCTGAGCAGGGGGGTGATGTGGCGGCGCTGTCGTCGCGCCACAAGCGAAACACATCGAAGCCTAAATCGCGCTATCAAAGTTCCGAAATTAAAGCAATATATATAGAATAGCTCCGAACTACCAATCGGAGCGCTGGCCGCTCCCCGGGCAGAACACCTTGCCCGGCGGGAGATCTCCCCTTTTCCTTCCACCCGCTACATACTGAACTAACAAAAAAATTGTTAAATTTAATTCAAAAACCCAATTATATCTGATAACTTAATTATCAATAAAAATAATTACCTCAAACATATAACAAGTCTTTTCTCTGGTTCAATTGGTTTTCTAAATCTTGAGTTTTCCATAGAAAGAAATGGTTTTAGTATATGTAGCAATTCTTGAAATTTCTTATATGTTAAATGCAAATATCTAAAAAAAAATCGTTCATCATCATCTATTAAGTCTTTTAATAAAGTATATCCCCTTCATATTCTCCATACCTCCATGCACCATGCCTTTTTAAATTAATATTATGAATCTAGAATCTTCTTTTTCTTCGAATTTTATTTTCTTCTTCTTCTACCAATAAGCAGGCTATTACTATATTTCTTTCCATAGTGATTTCGAGCGATCAATTTCACTGTACCGTTTCACACCAATGGTTGGAAAAAACTACAAAATTTGTTGGCAATACAAAAGATTTGCTTACGGCGCGGACGATGCGTACGGGCAAATGTGCGAGGCCATCAGTAAAATTCGGCGCGTACGGCGCGTGCGGCGCGGACAAATGTGCGTTCAGCTTAAGCTAGTTATTTAAATTCGATTGATTGATCACTACAGAACAAAAATGTAAAAAAATAAACAATATCAAAAACATTAAAAATTACAACCCTATTGCTTCAATGGAGCTGAGGTAATTATGTCCTCAATTTATACTGTGTCATGGTGCTGCAATTGTCTGGTTTAATTCTTGCATGTGTGATTATTTATGACTTACTAATAATTTGTTTAGTTTTATGAGTTATTCCATGTGCAATGTTATGTCTGTAAAACACATCCACAACATAGAAGAAATATCAATGACATTTTTATTCATTATTACATGTTATTATAGCATGTAATATGAAATAGGAAATGTCCCGAAAGACGTGAGCCATGTTGGGCCTAATACCCCTCTATTAATTAACTTTTTTTATATATATTCTTGTGAATATTTATAAATTTTTCCTGTATGTTTGAAGTACTTTTTTCCCCTCGGTCTTAGCTCTGCTAACACCAAGAAAACTAGTCACCGTCAGAATTTTACGAGTATTTAAAATGAAGAAAATACTTCAAAGGCATATAACAATGAGCCCTGTACAATTAAGATAGTTTAAGTTTTTTAAAGGTAGAATAACTTCTCTATTTAGAGGAGCCTGCCTCAGAAAGAGAGTAATGTTTATCGTGAGTATATATGTACATATGTCTATTTCTTTGGCACACTATGTAGCTTAAACAGCTTCATAAATGTTAACATATGCGGTGTCGTTAGATTCGTCTTAGTTGTGGAAGTGTGAACTGTGTGTGATACTTGCGGCGCTGCTCATATTCGAGTCAATAGGGTTGCGTGAATTTATTGGAAAATTTTGATGAAATCAATAAAATAGAAAAACTTCACAACCGACGTCTGACGTTCTTATCCACAGTGACATAGGCTATAACATTTTTCTCTTTTCAATAAATTTTTGTACACGGTCGGTTTTTTTTAAATTACTGTTTAAATTGTGCTCAATGAGCTCAATAGTGTTTTTCATAGGATAGATCTTAAAATGCACATGTACAAAACAATGATCATATGTGAAATATATGTCACACCCATGCTGTTAGTTGTTGGAAACACTACGCCTGAAGTTGTAGACAAATGTTTTTTTTATACAAGATAAGAGTGACAAACGAGCACACAGTGCACCTGATGGTTAGTGGTTGCTGCGGCCCATAGAAATCTACATCTATCCTCGATTACAAATCAAAATGCAGATGCGTCGTCACCCGTGAGGACTAAGATGGAATGCCTCGTTTCCAGTAAAAAGGGTCTCCTGTTCTCTACACTCACCATACGAAACACAGCAGCGTTAAGCAGTTATTTTACGCTGGTATTCTGTGAGAGCGTGGTCCTTTCCCGGTCGAGCCGACCCATTTGTGCTACAACTATACTACTAATATAGCTGTAGCATGGCTCTACCACGTAAAAAGTAAAAAAATATGTTTATTGTTTATCTAGGACAATTTGTCTATCTAGGTAAGTTCAACTACGACTGAGAGGTCAATCAACGGATTCATCTCGGCTGGGCCAGCTTTCATTACGACAAATCTCGTCACGTTTACCTCACAACTTGAAAACAAGAGTACATACTAAAATAAAAATAAAAACGAGCGAGCCTTACAGTAGTCTTATATGATGTGTAACATCTGATATCTCATCTTAGTAATAAGCAACAATAACATTATATTCTGAAAAAAGCTATTTGTTTTTTTATTATTCAAAATTAAAAATGTCAATTGTGTAGCCACAAATTAACCTCAAAATTTATAAAAGCTAAATACTGAAATATTTATTCGAATAATTATTAATTATTTTTCACTTGCATAATTTATCAATGTTCTGCACTTTTTGCAGACTTATTATTAACAGTAAATAAAGTTTATACATATATACATACATCTCCGCATGAAGAAAAGTACAGCCTAATGCTAGAACGTGTCCAAAACAAATTTATGAGGCACATATACTTCAAACTGTATGGGGTATATCCGTTTTACCCTTTGAGTTACCCCACATTGTTCGTGCTCGGGATGGTCGGGTACAACCAGCTCAGAGTAAGACGGGAGTTTGCCCTGGCTGCACAAGTAGTGAAGTTGCTTCGTGGCGCCACATGCAACCCGGGGGTGCTGCGCCACCTGCAGCTGTGCGCACCGGACCGGACCGGATCGGTACGTGTGGAGGCGACGCCGCCCGCCGCTGCTGGCGGTGCCCGTGGCCAGGACCAATTTGCATAATAGCTCACCTATAGTCCGATCAATCCTAGTAGTGAATAAAGTTCATGAGAGGATTGACATATTTTCGAGTAATCTAAGGTACTTTTATACATAGTTAGTTATGTAAGTTAGTTGTAATACATAGTATATCTAAGTAAATTAGTGACACTATCGTATTGGGTCTGTTTTGCCTGTAAGGATAGTTGTTAAGTGTGTGTGTGTAAATAAATAAATAAATAAATAAATTATAGAACAGTATATATAGTTCACATATATAAATTAGTAAAAAAATTAGTAAAGCACAATTTACTACCACTGCGCGCGCTCATTGGTCAAATCAAATAACGTGCACTCCCCCGACTTCCTGTTACACACTTCCGTCCCTTTTCACCGAAATCACTCGCACATAATCCGGGAAAGCGAGAAGATAAATGTAACATATCAAAAATATATTTCTTTAAATCTGCAATCATAATAAATTGTCAATTATTTACAGATCCTAATTGATCGCCTCAAGAATATTATTGATACCGTATCAGATGTGGACACCTCTTACAAGCTCACGAGGCAATACAGGAAAATACATCCGCACTTTGCTGACTTCCAACTAATTCTGTCAACTCTTCACGAAATAGAAGACCAGGATGGGAAACCGCGCACACAATTGAACAGACAGGAATTCTCTAGACCCAACATAAAGCCTCACGGTATGTATATTTTTGGTTTGTATTACTGTTTTCTCTTACTACTTTTTTTAAAAAAAAAAACATGTTACCTTTTAACAATTATTATAATTAATACATTAGAATTTTCTCCTGTATCGCGGGGACAGTTTACATACATATCACCATGGCAAACATCCAGACCCGGAAAAATTATTTGTAGGCCATACAAATACTTGTTCCGTGCGGGACTTGAACCCGCGACTGTTAGCGCTGCAACTCATTGCTAAGCCACTGCGCCACGGAGCCGACAATCGGACGTTCATGTCATACCTGTCTTAATATTATAATAGAAATAAAGAAAATAATTTAAACAAAATAATTGAGGCCTGTGATGCGGCCAAAACAATTTGATCGTTCTTCCTAATAATTATAGTTTATATCCAGACTAGTGGCGGTGTAAAAATATCCACTACTCCATACGATCCCGTGGGTGTCGTAAGAGGCGATAGAGGGTAATAAACCAGGAGATGGGCAGCAGCATCTTCAAAACGATGATTTCCAACACACCCGCCAAGCGTGGCAACTGATAAATATCTTCTTATGAGGTAATCTACGGGGAGGCATATGTTCAGCGTTGGAATTTTTTTTCTTTTTTAAAACACGTTACCCCCACACTAGGATTTTCTCCTGTATCGTGGAGGCAGTTTACAAACACAAATTTCACAAGGACAAACATCTAGACCCGGAACAATTATTTGTAGGCCTTACAAATACTTGTTCTGTGCGGGATTCGAACCCGCGCCCCCCAGCGCAGCAACTCATTGCTAAGCCACTGCGCCACGGAACCGTCATCCTTTGATGGGCTGTCATTAATTATATTTTATTATTGCTAAAAAGCAAGCCCACGCACAGCGTAGTCAACAAATAGCATACAAGACAAACCAAACGGAAGGAAAAAAAAGTAGTAATACCCGGATCGCGATACAAATTCACGGCGCGCGATTTCGTCATCGATCGCGAGAAGAATTCGTTCTGTGTGTGAGAAATTAAATTGCTTTGTAGTGGCGGTGTAAGAATATCCACTACTCCCATATCATCCCGTGGGTGTCGTAAGATACGACAGTGGGAAACAAATTAGGAGATGGGCAGCAGCGGCTTCCTAATAACGACTATAAATTAAAACTGCGGTTGCCAACCCGCTTGCCAAGCGTGGCAACTCTGACAAATATCCCCCCTATGAGGAAATCTACGGGAGAGGTCCTAAATTCAGCAGTGAACTTTAATAGGTTGTAACGCCGATGAAAAATTAATTCTTATAGTGTGAATTAAATATAGGAAGCAGTGAAGCGTAATCGAAAAAAAAATCTCAATGTGAAAAGCACAGTGGTAGAGCCACGCGGCAGCTTTTGCTGTCGCACGGTTGGGCCGGCTCGAACCGGGGTGGTACCACGACCTCACAGAAAACCAGCGTGAAGTATAGGTTTACCTCTGCGTTTCGCTTGGTGAGTGCAGGTGGCCGGAGGTCCTTTTTACTGGAAATGAGGCATTCCATCTTGGTCCTCACGGGTGACAACACATCTACATTTTGATTTGTAATAGAGGATAGATGTAGATGTCTATGGGCCGCAGCAACCACTTACCATCAGGTGGACTGTGTGCTCGTTTGTCACCCTTATCCTATATAAAAAAAGCGAAGCAAAGCCCAAGATCTGTACAAACGACGTTTGGGACTGTCGTCTTCGACGATAAAAGAGTTAAAGCCTGAACGGGCGTTAGACTCCATAGCAGTCTTAAGAACGTTGTTCATTTCTATGGATCCTTATGATTTAAGCATAAACGATGCGTCCAGTCACCCGTGTAGGGCATGTACGAGAGAGGAGGAAACAGCGGTCCGCGTGTTGCTGACATGTCCAGAGGTCACCGTATACAGGGCCAAACATTTCGGCACGCCGAGATCACTCCCCGGAGTTGTTGGCAACATCAAGGGACTACTGAATTACTTCGAGTAGATTTCATGGCTCGAATAAACACGGTATTCCTGCCCACGCGCAAAATACCGTTTAGACGTGGAGTTGCGGAAATCAGCATTGCTAGTGTAATGCAGGCTAATCGTAATTGACTTTTTACAATGCTTATACGTAATGGAGGGTCGTCCTACGCTGCGCCGGTCAATACATTGGAAAAGTAGTGACTCATTTTTTTTACAGGATAGGGTGACAAAACTAGTTCACAGTCCACCTGATGGTGGTTGTTGTTGTCCATAGACATTCTACATCTATCCTCGACTACGAATCAAAATGCAGATGCGTTGTCACCCTTAAGGACTAAGATGAAAAACTTCGTTTCCAGTAAAAAGGGTCTCCGGTTCTCTACACTCGAGCCGACCCATTCGTGCTACAACTATACTACTAATATAGCTGCAGCATGGCTCTACCACGTATAACTACTAGTTTAATTAATTTATAATATTTCATACTTTTGTTGCAGTTCTCGACAACATACCATACGACAGAGTGAAAGAAATATGCGCCAAGTATATTAACACAATATCAAAGAAGGTAACTACATTTCGCCTTTGGTAACAACTTAGTTTTAATTGCAAAAACTACACCGTTTGCCTTCACCAGCGTCAGCCTGTTAAAGTACACTGCTGGTGAAGAGTCTCTTTTGTAGGAGAGAGGATTTGCCTTAAACGTCACGCTTGGCAGGTGAATTGACAAACAGGAACATGTATACAATATTTTGTGTTATTCATGTTATTCATGCAAATATACCACCACACTACAATCTAAGCAGTCTAACTCCTAATAACAGTCGGTCATTGAAGGCGTCTAGACGGAGCAAACGTGCGGTGCGGTGCGGCCCGTGACGCGGGTGGAGCGCTCTGTCTGTCCTCTAGGGTTGTCCTGTCACGCAAATCAATTAAAATGGTTCACACTATATGTGCGGTAAAAAACTGTGGGTCGTTCTCATTTAAAGATAAGGAATTAAAAATCAGTTTTTTATTTTTTTATTACTTCCCGTTCTGACAACCCTAACAATTTATTGTTTATGTTGGCTTTTCCGACAACATCGAACGCGATGACTGACTGTATGTTTTTTTTTTCTTCTTACGCTGTGACCATACAGTGTCAGTACCATGCAGTGTCGGTGTAAGAATATCTACTACCCCCATATCGTCTCGTTGCAACAAAACAAAAGTTGGACAAACAAAAGTTGTCTTCCTAAAAACAATCTGCAGTTGCCAACCCGTTTGCTATGCGTGGTGACTGTGGCAAATATCTCCGCTATGAATCATCGTGGAAAGCCTATGTTAAGCAGTGGACTTTTGACGGTATGTAGCATTGGCGGCGTAGCGGGGGTTGGCACCCAGGGCGGTTTTCTATCAAGCACCCCCCAAAATAAAACAAAAAATGCTATACATGCTAACGGGACTTTATTTTGTATTCTATTGTATTATCAAAATTTACTAAAGGATAAGCCTTTTCGGTAGATAAAATGGAAAGATTGGTTAGTCGCGCTTGGCTCATTGTGGACCTTAAGTAAGATTTTATTAACTTGAGTTTTGAAAAGCTTCTTTCACATGAAGCTACCGAAACACAAATAGTTTGAATCTGAGTAGCTCCAATGAAGTCAATTGAACCGCTTCTTGGGAAGAAATACTGGCGGCTTCCAAGTGGTGCCTCAGTCGTAAAATCTCCAAAATTATGTCCTGCAGAAAATGCATCATAAAGTTTTGTCAGATCAGGAACTATTACACGAAGATGTTCACTGTTATTAGAATGAATGGTTGTTTGTTACTTTTTTATGTTATCTGAACCATGTAAACGTTACATTCCATTTGTGAACCAAATAAATAAAAAAAAGATCTTCTTCTGGTGACGTTAGCAGAATGTTAGGCAGAACAACAGTAAATGTTACGAGAATATCGTCCATGCCCTGTAACGATGGTCTACTTCTTCATAAAATCTTTCAAATTTAACATAGGTCTCCACAACTCTTCTGGCCATGTTAGTCCAGCATCTCGAGCCATTTCTCCTGTCAAACGTTTTCGAAATCTCCTCCTTCCTCTTCTTCCTTCAATCCAAGTTGTCCCGAGCAGTACTATTATATTATTTTGGTACATTGCGTTGTACGCAATACTATTATACTTAAGCTCACTCCACTGTACTAGATATATGTAGGTACTTTTTATTATTTTATTTACTCGAGTCAGTTGAGTCGAGTACCAGACACGTTACGCGCTCAATGCTACGCTCGTATGATATATGTATGTCCTTACCTTCTTCGATCGCGTCACTCAGTCGACCAAGCGGCACCTAACCTAAACTGATTTATTTAAGAAATTAAATTGAAAGTAAATAAAAGTAAATATTTGTTATATTTGTATGTTTATTGGTATGTCTTTGCGGAGTAATTCTTCTGTAAGTATTCTCTGCTGTGCGAGTGAGTTGTCGTTGTCACCCCATGGTGCTTGGCACCTAGGGCTGACCCCCCGCCCCCCTTTACACCGCCACTGGCCCGTAGCTGTAGCGAAAAAGATGTGTACGTGAGTTTGTGTCAAGAAGTTAGCATGGTTTACCTCGTAGTAGAGCCACGCTTCAGCTATATTATCGTTGTGCCACGAATGGGTCAGTACGACCAAGAGCGCGAACGCGCTCATAGAATATCAGTGTGAATGGCGGCTTAATGCTGTCGTGATTCGTTTGGTAGAGTCATTCATTGGGCGTTTTCCATTCGTCGACACCGGCACGGCGTTTTTGGGCACCACTAAAACAGACTTCAGTCCTACCACACGTAAAAATGGCCTCGTCAAGTCGTCGTATTTGTTCGTTATATCTCTTACATAGACTCATTGAGTTATATGTACTACGTACTAGAGAAGCTATTCCAAACAAAAATTGTGCGCTACTCTATGTCTTCGCGCATGCACGAGAGATAGTAGAGTCGCGCATGCGTGAAGACTAATTTAATATATATATATATATATATATATATATATATATATATATATATATAAGAATTTAATATAGAATACTCTTATTTTAATCTAAACAAACATATTTCTAAATAAAATGTAATAATAATTATCTTATGGAATTCACAAATCTTCAATTTACGCAATATTTAGTTTAGTGTACGGACTGCAGTACAGTTCATTTGAACGTAGTCAATGTTCGGAATGCGAAATCTAGTGCGTAGTACATATATATCGATGCCTAGACTAAAATACAATCAAAGCAGAGAAGTCTAATTTTTAATTCATCCTACTAAGGGTCGCTCGGTCGGAAAAACGTTGTTGCCCATAAATCACATTTAGTTTAGAATTATTTAAAAAAAATCACAGTAAACATTAAATCATAATTATCTTCCTAGCTAATTTCGATCGCGGCGTTCACGGATAAAAAACATATTTTGGCACAAATGTTGGCTCAGCTTAAACTTCGAACCGAGGATCCTTTAAAGCAGAATCAGGACGACTAGGCTTTGTGATTGTCAAAATATTGCCACTATACATAGAATGCGACGATTTAAGTTTACTTGAAAAATGTTATTGTAATAGAAAAAATTATGCGACATATATTAGTAAAATTATTAAGATTAAAAACTCAAAGCATCTATTCCCGCAGCTCACAGACCATGTAAACAATCTGAACACGGACATCGGCGACGAGTCGAACCCTGAAGAGGTGGCGCAAAAAAGAGTGCGCGAGGCACTGAAGAGCATCGCTCCGTTCATTCCTACGGTGAGTTAGTAATTTTCAATTTTAATCGGATCTTTAAACATAGTTAAAAATTTTAAAACATGATAAAAATGAACTTTATTGTTAACTGGCTGTGCCCGGAATGAGTTGCGATGCCTTATTTTTGTCGGAAACTCGCTGACGTGCGAACAACAACTCATCAGAGTTTCATCATCATAATTTACCGATTAGTGGCGGTGTAAGAATATCTACTACCTCATACAATCCCGTGGGTGTCGCAAGAGGCGACAGTGGGAAACAAATTAGGAGATGAGAAGCAGCGGCTTCCTAATAACGACTAAAAATAAAAAATAAACTGCGTTTGCCAACCCGTTTGCCAGGCGTGGCAACTCTGACAAATATCCCCCATAGGAGGCTATCTATGGGGGAGGCCTATGTTCAGCAGTGGACTTGAATAGACTGTAACGGTAACGGTAATTGAAGTAATGGTAAAGAAACGCATAGAACTTAACCATCTTTTTACGTTGTAGAGCCATGCTGCAGCTATATTAGTAGTATAGTTGTATCACGAATGGCTCGGCTCGACAGGGGAACGACCACGCTCTCACAGAATACCAGCGTAAAATAGCAGCTTAACACTGCAGTGTTTCGTATGGTGAATGTAGAGAACCGGGAGACCCTTTTTACTGGAAAAGAGGCATTTCATCTTAGTCCTCACGGGTGACAACGCATCTCCATTTTGATTCTTTATTGAGGATAGATGTGGATGTCTATGAGTCACAGGAACCACTTACCATCAGGTGGACTGTGTGCTCGTTTGTGTCACCCTATCCTATAAAAAAATTTCTTCATACTAACAAACAATTTATTGAAGTGAAAACTTCTTTAGAATCTTGAATTGAAACTCTATGAAACGAAAAAGCGACAAACATAATATACATCTACAGGATTTAGCCTGCAACAGAATGACAATACGGTATACAGTATTGCCTATAATCTGGGTTACCTCTTTTGAAGGTTTCACTTCTACCGCGTGTGAACTGCACACATTTCACGCACACATGGTTTTTTTTATAGAATGTAGGTGGAAAAACTAGCACACAGTCCATCTAATGGTAGGTGGACACCCTCTATCTTCGATTAAGAATCAAAATTCAGATGCGTTGTCATCCCTGATGACTTAGATGAAATGCCTTGTTTCAAGTGAGAAGGGTCTCCGGTTCTCTACACTCACCATACGAAACACAGCAGCATTAAGCTGCTATTTTACGCTGGTATTCTGTGAGAGCGTGGTCCTTCCCATTAGTGCTGGAATAATAATGTAGCTGCAGCTTTACTCTCATCACATTTAAAATATCACCTATTAGATTGCACAATTTATTCCATTGTTTTTTTTTTTATTCTTTTTTATTTAAGACACTCGTTATTATTATAATGTCAGTCCCATTGTACCTTGTAACTAAATAGCAGGGGTCTATGGCCAACGGTCGAATGGTTAACACGTACTTGTGAGTGCTTTTCGGTATTTGGTTAATTCTCCTTAATTTCCTTATTTTGTGGTGGTGGATTCCTCTGCTGTAAGTCTACGTTTATAAGTTATAGTTATTTCGAACATTAAACCCAATTATGGGTGACGAAACGGGGTCTCCTCGTGAGAAACCCCCTGACCCTCCCGATGAAGACATGTGCTTTGGAGTAAGTGACAATAATGATTGTGGCCGTGGTAAAAAAAGACACGCTGAGACTCGATCATTTGATCCAGTAATATATAAAAAGAATTCTGTAATTGATTTAACAGCGTCAATAAACACAATATATAAACATCCCTGCCTAGAACAAAATCTTAGAATGTATGGTCCAAACGACCAAGGCCCTTTTATTGTCCACATCTCCCGGGCTACGTCAGATCCTAGAATAGGGCTATCACTTCGACCAATTAAAATAGGTTTATGCTTGTCTAAAAATAAAATAGAAAACATCAAAAGAGGGGGAGTCAAAAGCGTTGGCAGAAATCGCATCTCTATTGAATTCTGCTCAGCCGATGAGGCTAACAAATTTCTTAATAATCCAATGCTTGCAAAAGAAAAATTGATTGCAACTATTCCATCCTATAATGTTTCTCGAATGGGTGTCATCCGCGGTATCCCTGTGGATTGGTCAATGGAAGAACTAGCAGAAGCTGTTGAGCTTCCTCCTGGTTGTGGTAAAATCCTAAAAGCTCGCCGTCTTCAGAGAAAGACTTTTGCTGAAGGGTCAACATCCCCAATATGGGTTCCCACTCAATCTATTGTTCTGACATTTGAAGGTCAGTTACTCCCCAAATATATATATGCATTTTACACATCCCTTGCTGTTGAAACTTATCAACTCCCCTCCATCCAGTGCAAACACTGTTGTCGATTTGGCCACATAGCAGATCAATGCCGTTCTAAACCACGCTGCTTCCGTTGTGCCCAAGAGCATACTGGAGCAAGTTGTTCTGTTCCTGAAAGTGAAGCCACTTGTCTGTTATGCTCCAAAAATCATTTTGCTAATAACAAAAACTGTCCGGAACACCAAAGGCAGATTTCTATCAAAGTTATGATGTCAGAACAAAATATATCCTATATAGAAGCTTCAGCCAAAATCCCATCTATCCGATTGAACAATCCTCAAAAACCGTATTCCGAAGTGGCCTCTACTCAGCTTTCACCTACTCCTACTACTTCCTTCAACCTCCCCACCATGTCACAGGCATATAGAAAAACCATCTTCAAACCTCCCCGCCCCATACCTAGAATTCCCATGGGGTATGACCAACAAGCTCATCAAAGAATAGTTGCAGACTGCCCATCCTCTACTCCAAATGGATGCGCTTTATCCAACACGCACAACCAAATATCTCCAAATGAAAATCTTGTTGAATGCCTAATTTCCCTCCTCAATAATTTAATTTTGAAAATGTCAGATTCACTACCGAACAACGTTGCAGAAAAAATCTTTAATTTAGCTAGTTTGATAGATAATATAAATGACTCAAACAAAAGACCTCCATCTCCTTCAATGGAACTGTAGAAGCTTGCAACCTAAAAAATCTGAACTCATCTTCCTAATAAATAAACATTCAATTTCTGTTGCTTCAATTTCAGAAACATGGTTCCTACCTAACTCCAAATTTCGCTTGCAAGGCTTTACTTGCCTCCGTGAAGATAGAAATGATGGTTATGGTGGTTGTTGCTTACTCATAAAAAAATCCCTACCCTTCTCTCAAATTGCACTCCCTCCTCATAGCCAACACATTAATGCCGTAGCTGCAAAAATTGCAGGAATCAACATTATTTCAATATATATCCCTCATCCAAATACCCACTTAATTCAAGAACTATCCTCTCTCTTCTCTTTGTTACCTCCCCCTTTTATTATTACCGGTGATTTTAATTCACATCATGTATCTTGGGGGTCACATTTTTGTGACATATACTCTTCAGAACTTATACAAATTTTTGAAGACATTAATGCTTGCATTATCAACAATGGTTCCCCCACTCATAGAGTATACCCAGGACTAGACCCTAGGTCTGCTGTCGACCTAACAGCTTGTTCTCCTAGTCTAGCCCCTCAGCTTTCTTGGAAAACCCTCAATCAATCATATGGAAGTGATCACTTTCCCATTCTTATTACCAAACCCAATGCGGTTATTCCTTTACCCTTTACTATGCCCCTCCTTAAATATAAGCTCCAAGACGCAGATTGGACTAATTTCACTAAATTTTTAGATACTAAATTTGCGCAAATGCAGGTTGACTTCTCAACCAACCCAATAACTTCGTACTCTCTATTGGTACAATATATAACTGAAGCAGCTGACTTATTTATCCCATCCAAAAAACCCCACAGCAAGAACCTATCCTCCCCTCCATGGTGGGATGCTGAGTGCACCACTATGATTAAAAGGAGAAAAGCTGCAGAAAAGCTTTATAATCACTGTATGACAACCGATAATTTTATACAATTTCAAAAAACCTCCGCTCAAACAAGGAGACTACTTTCCAAAAAGAAAAAAAATGGATGGAAAAAATTCTGTGAATCCTTGTCCCCTAATTCACCAGTAACAATAGTTTGGAAAAATATAAAAAAATTTCGTGGCTCCCTTCTTTCTGATTCCAACATTTCTGATAACTCTTTACCATGGTTAGAAGTCTTCTCTGATATGTTAGCTCCTCCTTTTGTCCCTAATGAATATACAATATGCCCACCCATTCCAGTCCCGTCTTACATCAACAATAATGAGATAATCTTCTCATTGTCCGAATTACAGTCTGTGCTATCTGGCTTAAAATCCTCTTCTCCAGGAGAAGATGGCATACCCTATGCGTGTTTATGTAAATTAAGCCTTAAAGGTAAATTAATTCTTCTCCAAATTCTGAACAATATCTACATATCATCTAATATTCCTCTGTCTTGGTCAAACCAAATTGTTATACCTATCCTTAAACCCGGAAAAGATCCCAAAGAAGCTTCTTCATACCGCCCAATCGCACTCTCATCTACGTTTTGCAAAATTTTAGAACATTTAATTAAAAACAGACTTGAATGGTTTCTGGAACATAATAACATCCTTGCAAAAAGTCAATTTGGTTTTCGTAAAGGTAAAAGCACTTTAGATAGTTTGAGCATCCTAACTACAGATATTAGGTTGGCCTTTTCTAAAAATGAATACTTGGTGGGTTGTTTCCTGGACATATCATCTGCCTATGACAGTGTTCTTCTTCCAGTGCTCAGGCAGAAAATGCTTCATCTGAACATCCCTGCGAAGACTGTACACTTCATTTACAATCTGTTCATGGGACGATCTATCAAAATTCGCAATAAAGGAATGTTAACCTCGCCCAGAACAATCTGGAAGGGTCTACCACAGGGCTCGGTCTTAAGCCCTATTCTTTACAATATCTACACATATGACCTTGAACATTCGATTTCATCTTTCTGTGACATATTACAATATGCAGATGATCTTGCTATCTATGTAACAGCTCCTGATATCCTAACTGCCTCCCATCATC